AAAAACATATAGGTTGTCCTCATCGCTTTCTGGAAAAGGAATATCCACACCATCTAACTGAGTAGGGGTGTACTCCATGTCCCCGGCTGCCATGGTGATCAGTTCGGTCGTCTTACTCTGGAAGCTTGGATGTGGTGGATTTGGACACTTCCACTTCCAATATCCTGGCTGAAGGCATCGTCGGCAGGTGGAGTTGGCGATTCGGTCAGCAAGGCTCCTCTTCTTGATGACTCGCAAATCTTGAATTTCCCTTTTCCACGAGCTTTGTCCTTGCCCGATCCGGTAACGGGCCAGAACTCGGGCCAGAATCCACGCCTTCTGGTGGGCTCCGGGCTTCTTGGTAGGTGGTGAAGCATGATGCCAGCTCACTTGATTCCTGGCATGTCAGCACGATCTGCTCCTCGAAGTCATTGCAGAATTGTCCAGCAAAGTCTGGAAGAACTGGAATACCACACACCTCATCGAGCTCCATTCCATCTGCGTCTTCAGTGAGGTGGGTTTCATCTTCCTCCTCAATGCGGTTGCAGTCATAGGTCTTCATTTTCTTTCCCATGGTGTTCTGTTGAAGCTCATTGAAGAACTTGGCACCGAGGAGACGGAGTCCTTTGCGAGCCGTCTCATAGGTCAGGGCTCCTCCCTGTTTCATCTGGCTTCTGTGTAGTCTGGAAATGTTTGGAAGATGGCCCGCTCGAAGAGTTGGAGCTTCTCCTCTTCGGCTAGTTGGCCCCATTGACCTCCCAGGGCCTCAACCAAATACTTCACTCCATCCTTGTGCTTGAGTTTGGATGCATCCAAACGAGCAATCTTCTGGAAGGCGGATCCACCGACGAGGAAGACAAATGTCTCTGAGGAAGGACCGTTTGCGAGCATACACCTTGACGTCCGTGATCCCTGGCTCAAAACTTGGGACCTGATTCCATGGCAGTGTGGTATTGCCATAGGTCCCTTGGGACCCCGCTGCTTGCGCTTCCTCACTCAATTACAATGGTTCGCCCTGCAAATCCAAAATTGACCAAGCCATGCCACTTCCCAAAGTGTCATGATCCGAGCTAAGCGGCCCATTGATCCGCTACCAATGCGAATCTACAACCAATTGGGGGCCCCTCCACCACTTCCAAGACACGTGACCCAGCCACTTCATGATCTGTTTCTCCTGTGCCTGATGATGTCCACTTGAGCCAACATTGTTGGCGATCACTGGAGTAACTCTACTGCATGACTGCTTTGATTGGTGCACTTGAGTCCAAACATTCACAATATACATATATATACACATATATATATAAATACAATTATATACATAACTCCGATGCGACCCTTGTCACAAGGGTGTTGTGCATCAATCGCGCATGCATTCGTGCATCCACTGCTGCCCCCTCTCATTTGCACCAATATGATGCAACCACCGACCCCCACCTTCCAACCAGCACGTACAGAAGTCGCCAATGCGGCCATGGCCTGTGCGTCAGCCTGAGCCGCATGACGGTCGCATTGCTACGCTGAATTACCAAGCATTATCAACGCTTCAACCCTATCTCAGCCGAAAGCACACCTGGTAAAAATGGTGATTAGGTGAATTTCCTGCAATTGTGCTGCTTAAGCAATCAAGCATGTCCATTTAGGAGGTAATGGAAACTAATGTGTCGTCATCTCAGAATCTCACATATCCAGTCATGAATCCTTTATTGCAAAGGACATCAAAGGACGGGCTAGTAGTTGAACCCCCTTGCTATGATATCAGGGAGTGGATATACACATATTTCATGATACTTTATGTAATTTATTTATGTAATAGCGAGTATACTGTGAATATGATGAATTTTCAGTACCTGCCAAGTTGAACCATGTGATTGAAATGCATACCAGAAACCTGCAGAGGGACTGACCTGCTTCAATAGGAACAACAAAAGGTGGGTAGCTGACACACCGGGGTTGGCTCCCTCAATGTCCGATCTTCCTCATCTAACAACCCACCCTAGATGTATATATTAGACGTATCTAGATGTACAACGTGGTGGAAAATGTAAAACGAAAAGTATTTGTTAACAAATTGCTTTGTTTTGTTGGCTAGACATTGACGTGTTAATCCCAAGCTGCCTGTACTTGCTGACCCACCAGCATCCCTCCAAAGTACAGCAAGGATTTTTGTGGTTTGTTTGCGCATGAACCACCCCTGCCACCCCACCCTCCCCCCAAGTAGCGAATGCGGGCCAAACAGGTGTTTTCATACAAGGGACCCTACCACCCCAGTCTTTTTGCAGTCTATGCCAGTGGGTGCTGAATCTGTGCAACAAAAGAAACGTGCCGCACGCTCACGGTCTTCAACCCGCCTGTTCACGGTAGAGAGTCGACTCAGCGCTCATCTTTGCCAGCTTTGACTTTAGCTTTTCCAAGGATTTGGTCTCAACCTGCGAGGAAGTGGTGAATGCAGCTGAAGAAAATAATGCAGCTGAAGTTTGCAAAACAGGCCTGTTCAGAGTCTTTGGTTTCATCTTCCAAACGCCTTGCAGGTGAGAACGCAGTGAAAACACATGAAAACAGTATCACTGTATCACCATTTGAACAATTGGCCGGTGGAATGCCCGACCACCCCCGCACCCAAATAGTTGTTAAGTACATTATATCAGCATAGACCCAAAACAGTTTCAGCAGGATCTATTTTGAGTCAGTTCCTTGCATCATGTTGATGGAAGCTGGAAACGTCTGGTTTCGGGAACAGGGTGATACCAAATTTGAAGCGCTGACGCTGCATCGCTGCCGATCGATATCCACAAAGGTCTGGACGAGGCCCAGGCAGCACCGCCAAGCATGGACACACAGACCCGGACAATCAAGCGCCGGACAAGGTGGAGACGAAAGGCGGCATGCGGAAAGGGCACAGTGCGGCCAAAGATAGACACACAGACCCCAAGATATCCCAAGAACTCTGGACAAGCTCGGTAAGAGGTCCCAAGAAGTACACACGGACCTGGACCAAGACGGAGAAGAAAATGCCCACGGCGCGGTGAAGCAAACACACAGACCTGGACATGGCCCGGAGAAGGTGCTGAAGAAGGAGCGGATGGCCAAACAGTAGACTGTTTGGGGAACAATACTGCTATGACACAGAGAAGAATCGACTGAAAATCGATGAAACATACATCAAAAGTGGACAGTCAGGTTGATGCATCCATCTGTGGCGATGTGGTGTGTCGGGTTCTCTACTTTTCCACAAATTCTTTGTTTCTAGAAAGCACTTCTTTGTTGATCTTTTTCCATGCTTATCATCTGGACTTGGAGGAATCTCCATGTCTGCACATTTCTTTAGAAATCTGTATGTTATGAACCTTTGTGCTATTCTGTAGCACCTCGACTACACTTTTCTATAGCACTCTCTACTAATCAGTGCTTCGCTCAGCTTTGTCCACGAATCTCTACTGTTTCAGCCTCATTGCAATGCGATTTGAACCCCGAGTTGCAGTCCCCAACACTCCCTAGCTGCATGCATGAACCAACTCAAAACATCTATGTAGATAATACCGCCACGCCATCTGGACCGCTGAGTGTATAATCCCACGCTGCACTTAGCAGCAAGTACCCTTTGACACCCTGAACTCATTTCTTGTAGCCTGCCTTTTCAGGCCAACTCACCTATTCCTATCTCATCTATCGAATCTTGTGGCAGCGAGTCTTGCAAAGAAATAATTGTATATGTACTGCACTTGTGAAGCAACCTGATGTAATATATGATATACTGTAGTGGCTTCTTTGCAGAAAGGCTAGGCGTCACATCGCAAGTTTCATACAACCACTGGATGAGTGCATAGTCTAGCAACGCCAAGGCATCGCTGCTTGGCTTTGTCCGAATGGCCTGGTGCACTTAAAAACGTTTAAGCAGAAGTATGGGCACAACCCAAACTATGAAGACCCTGCTCCCTCCACAATTTTGTGTTCCGCTTAGCTTCATTGTGCACTGAATGAACTGATTTCTTTTCGTTTGGCTGATCTACACACATGCTTCTCAATTAACTGTAGTACTTTCACGAACTAGTTCAATAGCCAGAGCCCCAGCAAGTTTGCACTATGATTTCATCCCCGCAAAGATCATCCCGAGCCACAAGGTGTTGACTCTGGGTGCATGTCAGCATCTCTCAGAGGTGGAACTTGCCTATTCTCATCATCAGAAGGTGTGTGAACTTGGTCTTTCAGGGACGCCAGGGCCTTCTCCTTTCGGACCAAGCAACCGATACAAACCTTGCTGTGCATCGGCGTTGAAGAAGGCATATTTTCCAGCAAACTGAATTGCCTTGTGATGTGATAGGTGCTTGCAGCTGCATGCACGTCATTCTTCTCAGGTGGGATGAGAGAAACAACACCTGCAACATCAGTGCAACTCCCTGAGCCCAGCAGGTCCTGCCAAGTATTCACCTGCTTCATGCTGTCCAAATCAATCTCTTGGACACGCAATTGCGCTTGAAGGGTAGCCTCGGCACTCGAGACATCTCCAGACCTGGATCGACCAACACAAACAACAATTGTTCACTTTGGACATCTGTGACTGAGCCAGGGGCAATTAGTTGCTGCTGCGCGTCGTACAGCATCTTAAAATTTGCATTCTCTGTCCGAAGCTCTTCCTAACCCATGCATAGAGTCTGACATGCTTTAACTTATTGCTTGAATGGCGGCTGTGGCTGTGAATTCCAAGTAACCATGCTTTTGCAGCTTCCCATGTCGCACAATTCCGGCCCCTTTGGAAGATCATCCTCCGATAAATCTTCGCCTCCGCTCAAACAGAAGAACAGCAGCAACGGTGAAACCATCCAACCCAGGATCCAGGAGCAAGGACTCTACTAGGGGAGGGACCGGAGATGCCGGACAATTTAATGTACTGTAATAGAGATAGAGGAAAAAGAGAGAAAGAGAGAGAGATAATGTTGAATCGTGAGGTCCAACGTCTTCGGCAAAAGTCCGAATGTGTTTCTTGAATCTGTCTTGACTCTATTTGCTGACCTCTGGAACAAGCTTGCATCCTGCCATCCAAGCTTTCCTGAGAGTGCATGCACATGCATGACAAATAGATAGAGAACACCTAGATCTCGGTAGCCCGACTCAAACGCAGAAAGGGAAACGTGGAAGCACGAAGAATCAATGTCCAGCATGTCCAGTTTGTCATGAGCAAGGCACTTTGGACTCCACAGGCCAAGTATGTGTCCTCGAACAGCGTTGATCCCGTCACAGCTGTAGTCATTACCGGGTAGAAAAGAAACAAATCATACAAAACAAAAGAGGACAAAGGATGACAAAGGTAAGAACACTGGACACGTTCTCTTGCTTTAGTTGTAAGAGTCTTAAAACAGGTTCCAAAAACTCTGCTCTGCTAGCGGCGCTAACGATGTCGAAGAGTGCTTTTAGGCTGCACATCAGGATATATCTTTCTGAACTGTTACTGAAATGTCGGTGCTGCTAATTCGTGGGTGACAATGGTCAGATCTTTGCCATATTCTTTAGCTTGTCACTTTGTATCGCAACTCGGAGTCTGTGCGGCTGATAGGCAATCTCAGGTCTGCTAGGTTAAGCGCTTTCCAATGTGAACTTCTCACACAGCACAAAAAACTACGTCACAGGTGCAGGCCTGCAAGTCAAACATTGTCTATGAACTTGCAAGAATGTTTGTCTACGTTCCTTCCGCTTCTAGGGGCTCCTGGCCTTACTACTAGGAACAAGAAGCTACTAGGACCTTTTCAACCCGGAAGAAAGGTGCTGCGCTCCTCCTCGCGCAAAGAGGCCAAGATTCCTGAACAGTTTCTGGCCTTGGCGTATCGGAGAGGGAACAGGCAACACTTTCCTATTCGAGGGCTTCAACGCAGTAGCTGCTCAATATCAAGTTCGAGTGTCACAAATTTAGGCACCTTAGCGTGTTCCTCAGACATCTTGTAAGAAAATGCATCTGCAAACCAACGGAAAGCGAGAAGCGAGTGGTCGCGGTCGCGACGTGCAGGTTTGCTTCGTATTTTTGGTTTTCCTGGTTGGTTTTCCTATGTGCTTTCCATGTCTTTTAAGTTGGCTTGCCTTGTTTTCGCCTCTTCTCAAGTAGGTTAGCCTTGATCCAGTGCGTTGTCTGCCCAAAAGCGTGGTTTCATACTTTTGGGGTTGCCGTGTCAATTTTCCCAGGTGCTTTCCATTCTTTTCAAAAGGGTTTGCCTTGGTTGTGTCCATTCTGTGCTC